AAAAAAAAAAAAAAAAAAAAAAAAAAAAAGGAAAGGAAAATTTCACATATTTCTTGAAGGTCAGATAGTGTGGCTGTCTACACTATGAGGTATAGTGAGATCCTCTAGTAGGCACCTAGATGCCACCATATTGAGTAATTGAGTTTATCTAGTACCCTGACAACATACAAAGTCTCTCATCTCATTTCTGTATATAATCATTCTATTAAGCTAAATTTATTTGAGAATTAGCCCTTCCATTAAGGAATAAATTTAGAGATGCGACAAGACTGCTTATTTTGAGACATCACTGAAACTCTGTGAGAATTTGAAAGTCTACACAGCTTGAGGAGCTAGATAGCTGTATAGCTCAGTTACAACCACAGGTCAAAGAAAAGCGAGGGCAAGAGGAAGGAAACAATCTTCAATAAGATGATTTACACCAATGGCTAGCAGTAGCTACACCAATAGTACAGTAGCATTCAGTATCCAGTATTCAGTTAACTGCACTTCTTAACGTGAAAGCCCAGCCCATTAGCTTTATTACTCATATCCTTCACCTTCCTGACTTTCCTGAGGAAATGGATCCAGTTCCTGGCTTGACCTTGCTTGATTTCTCTCTCTCTCTCTCTCTCTCACGCACACACACACACACACATCCATTTCATGTCACTAAGGTAAACAGACAAATTGACCCAGACAAACTTTGAGGTACTGCTCTTTGCAAAAAAAAAAGGTTCTTTAAAACTACTTTTCTAGGAGACAGAGGTATCATTCATTTACAACGGCAGGAAGAGCTGCTGAAGTCTTGCCTGTCCCTCTCCCATGCACGATCAGTGCTGATAACAACTGGATTTCCTACCCACTTCGCTTACGAGCCACCCGAGGAGAATGATGGGCCCCCAGGAGCCTTTGCTATCGCAGCCATGTTGCAGGCCTTGGAGAAAGATGTTGCCATAGTAACAGATCAGCGAGCCATGAATCTGAACAGGAAGATTATGGAAGAAGCTGTTCGACTCGGTAAGCCATACAGCTCTTCAAGGAACGCAGTTTTCCAGTTTTAATCTTACTAATTTGAGTAAATATTTCCTTTGGTGTAATTTCACTCTTAATTAGTTCATGAATTTTCAAAAAAAGTTCATGCTAAAAGTAGCAGCATTGTTATGATTACATTATTTTGCTAGAATCCAGCTGATGTCATTTTAGGGCTTACATATCTGGAAGTCATTCCAAATTAGATGTTTGCAGTGACCTCTGGAAAGCTGTTCCTGTTCTAGACTTCTTTTAAATCCCAAGGTCCCATTTACAAGTACTAACTAAACTAGGTTAACTTAAAGTAAACATGCAATTCCGTTCCTGATAAACTGTCAATAAGTGCTCACTATCTTTACACCAACTGTTCTGCCTCAAAAAACAAAACCAAACCAGAAAACCGACAATACCAAACATGCACCAAAGAGTGACACATGGTATTTTCATTTCCTGCAGGAATCCTGAAGCGACCTGTCCCTCTCCTGAGTTATCAAAAGGAAAGTACAGATTCAGCTTTGATGTTTTTGTGCGAGAATGGAAATCGTGGAAGACCGAGGTACGTTTGTTTGCTTTAAAGAACAGGTAATAATTCTATGTGAAGCTATAATAATAATAAAAAGAACTAAGAAGATATAATGGTTGCAAGCAAGTCCTTGAAAATGTAAGATTTGAGACTAATGAAAGAATTCCAAGTACAGTGCTGGTAGAGCATCAAATTCTGTGTTACTCTGGGATTCTGAATTTCCGAAGTTTTAAAAATAAAAATACTTTGTATTTAAGTAGAAATATTGCAAAGGTACCATTCTAAAAGCTGTATCAATGTCATTAATAAAAATATACCTTTGAGTACTATACATGTTTTATCAATTTGTAAATCCATGGAAAAATTATGACACAGAGAAGTTAAATATCACATCAGAGTCAGTGAAAGATCTAGCAAGTGAATTTTGGAGTTTGTTTGCTTTCTGGTCTTCTGGCTCTGACAACTGAGAACTCTCATCTGGCTTAGTAAATGTTGCCAAATGTTTTTAATACTCTGAAGGCAATTGCCCTACCATCTGTAGAGAGCCAAAGCTAAAGATGTATGTGTGCACTTTGGAGCATTCTTTTGAGTTGTTTGCCTATTCATTGTAGAATAGAGTGTTGGCAAAAATTCAGAGTTATATGAGTACGTGATTAAGGTTAAGGTTAGAGAGTTTTCTATAGAGTTGTACACACATATCTTGGTCAGCAATTTACATTTCTTTTAAATAAGAACCTGTTGGTCAGTTGTTTGCTTAGAAAAAAAAAAGTATCAATTTGTCAATTCATTCATTCCCATTTCTTTCTATAGGTCAGCTATAATTTCAGTACAACATTAGCTTCAACTTCCATGTATTGTTTTAAATTTTTTTTTTTTAATATAGCTAAGCTAATATACAACTTTTTCTATTTCATTTGATTCAACAGTTCTCCAAAGCTAAAACAATTCTTCTAGAGCACACAAAAGGTGTGTTTATAGCTCAAGGTCCCTTAGGTCGCTGTAGGTATCCCCACAAAAGCATTAAGTAATTCAGCAGAATTAGTAGCCTCTAGTAAAACTGGACAGAAGGAAAGGTTAAAGCTAAGGTAATAGTGGTGGAATCGACTAGAAGAGCTCTACTTAAAAAAGCACATCTTCACAATACTTCTACACACATTCATAACTAGCAAAATAGTCATAGATTGAAATCAATCCAACCAACTAACAAAAAATTCCAAATGCAAATGCCAAAATACTCTTTAACTAGAAACAACACTAGAACACCAGAAACAACAAACACTTTCTAAGTAATGTACTTTAAATGGAGACCTAACCCACTTATGTGGATTTAGATCGTTACTGAACTGTTTTTCTTTGTTTTGTAAGAAAACATTCGTGAAGAACAGTACTATAGAAGATGTATTTAACACGAAACAGAGCAAAGCTTAAATAGCCAACCCAAAACACTGCTGGGTAGGAGAGTTTCACAAACCTCTCTATTAGTTACAATTACCATTTGAAGTAATTTCTCCAAAGCCATAAAGAAACAAGATTAGCCATTGAATATAAACTACAGAGAAAATAAGCTTCAGAAAACAAACTTCAGAACAGTAATATAAAAAAGTGTCTAAGTTTTACCTTAGGTTCCATACAGTCATAAAATGAAAACAAGAGGAATAGGAAAAGCAACTAATAAGAGACTTCATTATGTAAGACTTGAGGCTTTTAACTCCTGTCCTTTAACTAATTTTTCATTCTGTATCTGACCAGATTTGATCACCTGATAGCAATAGAGCGTGCTGGGATGGCTGCTGATGGCAATTATTACAATGCCAGGAAAGTTAATATTAAACATCTAGTAGACCCCATAGATGAACTATTTTTAGCTGCAAAAACCATTTCAGGAGTTGCAACAACAGGTAGGTGAGAGTTTGCATTATATTTTGAACATTAAAATTAACATAGATGGGAATTCTTACTGGAAGAGAAATAGAGGAGGAGTCAGGTGCTAAATAACTGCTTTAGGACAACAGCTGTTTTCTTTATTGAATTTAAAGAGGCAGTTGCTGAAAAAAGAAACAAATATATACATATACATACATACATACATACATACATAAAGTTCTATGAAAGAGTAGCCAAAGCAAAGATGTTGAATTCAGAGTTATTCTAAGGCCAAAAAAAAACTAGGGCAAATATGTCTGTGTATATGTAAGTGTACATACAGATACTTCCCAAAGTGACATTAAACTCCTTTTATATTGTATAGGTGAAAACAAGAATTTATTGAATGGAAATATTACAAATTAAAACATTATGGTGGTCTTTAAGATAGTTTTACCTGGGTTAAAGCTGCAGTCTAGATAGCATCTTGGGTTGTATTGCCTTTTTAAGAGTACATTATCTTGAGAAGGGATTGTATATTTGCATCTGGTATAATAAGCCCTTCTCTAACAAAATGTATCCGTAAAATAGTTAGCTGTAAATGAGTATCTTGTCATTCCTGTCAAAATTATATTAGCCTCAACTTATATGATTGAACAGTACTTTCTCAATGTGCTGCTCCTCTCCTTTTTTCCTTTTTTGACAGTCCTTTTTTTTCCTCCCCCTAAAAACCTGTTTGTATTTGCTTTTATAAATATATGTCACAGATCGAGGATTCCCAGGTAGATATAACATCCTTCTTATACAATGTCCTTGTACAAGCAAATGCTTTCTGCTACATTGTGTGGCCCAAAGCAGAACTGGGAGGTACATATTTCTAACCATTTTAAATGAAATTAGCAATAAATGTCCTTGCAAGCCTGATTTCAGTCAAGTTAGGACACATCTGCTGATCCAGCTGTTTTTCTGTTTGCAATACTGGAGACCCATTCCAAACTATTACCAAATGTACTGGAACTTTGACTTTCAGTATTGATGTTTCTCAAATGTTTTCACAGAATTTTGAGAGTTCCTGCAGAGATAATGCATAGTCTGCTTTCAGTAAAGGGAAATCATATTTTGTAGGTGTGGAATCAAAGCAAAGGAGTGAAAACAAGGGAGTTCCTTGGTATTTTTGTTATTATAATAATATTTACAATATATTTTATTTAGATTTAATGCTAATTTTGGTCCTGTTCTGAAGGAGTAACTGTCAACATCCCAAAAGAGGCTCTGTAGATGGCACTCTGTTGGCAGTCTCAGAGAGAACAACCCATGACTGAATAGCCCATTTTCATGAAGCTGTTCACCAGCAGTGCCTCATAGCCATATGTCCTGCTGTTAACATCAGTTCCCTACTCCCTGATTTTAAACTGCTCATACAAGGACTAGGTCTCTATTCTATTATTGAAAGCATCCCAATCTCTTAAAATACCTCCCCAGAGCAACTTATTGATTTGGAGGAGTTTGGAGTGTTCTGCATGGTGGGATTCTGCATCTGTCCACGAGTATTTAGGCTGGGTTAAACTGCACCTAAGTATTCAAATACCCTATGAAATGTCGTTAGTTAAAAATACCAAGATTTTTTAAGTGTACACTGCTGTAGCCCACTGCCATGAATTTTCTCTGAAGACATGTTTGCATGGAAAAAGATTCAACTTCAAAAGGGAATGAAGGGATCTCTGATCTCCTGTGGATTTGTGTGCATCAGTGTTGTACACTGGATAACTAATTGAATATCTGTAGAAAAAAAGCAGTATCCTTGTTACCTGTTAAAATGTCTCTTACCTTCAGCTTGTATTCATTCTATAACTTATCACACTAACTTTTCATGTGTGACTTTTAATTTCATTATAATTTCTTTGGGATTGCTGTTGACTTTTTCAGTGTATTCATGCCAAGTGTAATACAGTAGAGAACTAATCTGGGTTGTGGCCTTTGCATGTTGTCCCTTATGATAATGTATTGCTTCTGATTATGATTTGTTTTTCTAGGAAGGCTGTATTGGACTCTCTTTATGTTAAATAGGAATTTAGAGGCACGTGTCTAGTGCCAAGCTAAATGCAAATATTCTACAACACCTGTTTGAGTACTTGGATAACCAGATAGAATAGGAAAGAATAATAAAAAGATTAAAGTTTTTAGTATTGCAGAAGTGTTTGTGCAATATGCTCACCTGCAAGAAGCACTGTTTTAGTAGGTGGACAAAGGAAATATTAGAATGTTAGTTACTTATTAGCCACTGTCAGGTTTTGCATTTAAAACAAGTTCAAGTTTAGTGTTAAAAATAAGAATTTGATCTAGGGATCTGACTGCAGACAAATCAGGAACAATGCCTGTAATGTTATGAATCTCAGTATTATTAAAATGGTGGAGTAAGCAGCGACCTTCAGAAATATATAAAATAAGAAGACAGGAAAGACTGAGGCTAGAAGAACTCATTTCCAGAAAAAGTTACCAAACCTGCACTCTTAATTTTTATTCATCTGTCATAATACTAACACAGTTATATGCCATCTTTTTAGGAGCTAGTGAAAAGTTTTTCAAAGTACTGTAGGAAAAAATGTGGGCACACTTGCTTCCTCTTTCATGCAAGTGCTGCTTAGCACAAAATTCTGAAGTTTCCTGCATTTTTCATTGATGTAGTGTCAGAAACTAATGTAGTCGGTGAAAGCTTACATAGATAATCTGACAGAACTGTGTGTTTTTCCTTAATCTGCAAAGGACTCAGGCCTTTAGGAGCAGCAGATTCATCTTGTCCGGTTTCAGGCATCTACATAAGAGAAGCCTGCCCTGGGAGGAGATGAGTTGCATGTCTGAAGGGTCCGTTTTTCTCTGCTGACTTAAAAAACATGATTGACTGACTAGCTCATGTGTAGATGACTCTGCCTTGTCAGGTGAATCTCACTTTGGAAATTCTGCAGTGATGTGTAGTCCTCAAAATGTAGAGAAATTATATGGTACAGGAAAATGCTCTAAGCTGAGGATGTGATGTTCTTTTCTTCTCCATGTAATGCTAATAGGATACAACCAAAGCTGCAGATCTATTAACAGTGTATTCGTCTAGTGATAGAGGTGCCATAAAGATAAGAAAAAGCAGACTAAGGCTGACGAAAAAAACTGAGAAACATTAATATCTTTCACTTTTAAAGAAGTTGTATGTGATCTCTAAAGGGTGTCTCAAGAACATGAGTTCATAATTACCTTTTTAAAGAATATTAACCGCAAAATCTCAGGTTTGGAATATAAGAAAAATCAAAGTGTTCTGTGCAAATTCTTAAAAAAACCCAGCTATAACTACCATATCTATAGATAATGCTGGATTACCAAGTTTATGTCATTAGCTATTTCTAAAGTGTTATTAACAACCAAACAGATTTCAGTCACCATTAAATCCCTATGCTGAAATAAAGGTGAGTAGCATATTAAGGCAGGCAATTGTGAAAAAGAAAGATTAGCTGTTTTATGGCAAAAGAGTAAATACTGAAGAAAATTATGTCCCAAACTTTATATATTGATCAGTAAATTATGTCTGGTTAAAAGTTTCTTGAGATCTAGCCATTTCAATCCTATATGTAAGTCATGTCGCTCTGAACATATATACTCTGCTTTGAACATATAGGCTTTAGGAACTAGATACAAACTGCTACTGAAAAATAACTTTGAATTTCACTTACAGAAGAAATTCAGTACAGACCTAAATGAAATATTTATATAGCTACTAAAAAAGGTATTTTTTAACCAATGTTCTGTGCTTGAAATGTAAATTATAAATACTGTTTCAGTCCTGTAACACATGCTACGCATTTGTCTCATTTCAAATTCAATGAGGATTTGGCACTCTTCACTGTTCTGCAAATGAACATTCTGCTTCACAACCATTAGCTAGTATTGTCTTTAAAAATCTTAAAACTTAGAAAATGCCATTTAAACTAACATGTAAAAAAGAACTTTGAAGTTCTGTTTAAATAAAGGGATTTTATTGCATCTTTTTACACTGATAAAAGACAAATTAGATGAGCTTCCTATAAGCACAGTCCAGTTTTCACATAAACTGTTTATGTATTATCCTTAACTCCAAGTCTCTGAACAGTGTTTAACAATTTTATATCCTATACACAGGGGCAGCCCAAGATTTTTCTGAAATAGCCTAGGTAATAGAACTGATTTTACTGAAAATATTGATACTGTGGATTTTTAAAAGACAAATACACAGTGTTTGTATTTGACTGACAAAAAGAGCCATCACCCAGAATATGTGAACGTAAGAAAAAAAATGATAAAAAACTACTTTTCTACTTTTCATTAGTAGAAATATCCTCACAGTGACCTGAAGTTTTCTATGCTTGCTTTATCATAGAATCCAAGGTTAATTTTTCAGCTTTATTTTGAACTTATTCTCTATCTTTTCTCTGTTTGTGGAAATGTACCTGTGTAATCTAGAACATGTATGTAAGGCCTTCCATAAGCAGTAAGCTTACCACTCGATTCTGTCAGCTCTTTATAAGCATCTGATAAATTCATTTCCTTTTCCCGGCACCAGTATAAGCCCACTTTCTGTATAGCTGTAGGATAGCATGTGATAAAATTATACCTTCTGTTTTAGACACTTTGATTGAAAAAGGAGATAAAGCATCTTCTATGGGGATATGAACTGTCACCCAGGCTCTTGGGGGAGACTGGATAGTTTATAAATGGATTGTCATATGTATGCTGCTTTCATACACCTTTGATTTCTTTCTTCTTTTAATTAAGGTGTCGGAGATGGAGGAAATGAATTGGGAATGGGCAAAGTAAAAGATGCTGTAAAGAAGTACATAAAAAATGGAGATGTTATTGCTTGTGATGTTGAAGCTGATTTTACTATTGTAGCTGGTAAGAGATTTTTTGCAGGGACAGGGATATTGAGGTTTCAGAAGAGATTTGAAAAGAAAGCATCGGTGTTACCAAATAAACTGCATGAGCCTTTCTTTATATGACCGAGCCATCATTAATAAACAAATCCATCTTTATTATGTCGATTTTCTAAATAGTTAATCAACTACAGCTCCAGCAGGAATGATTGAAAATCAGATATTCACTTAAGAAATTTCATTTAATTGGAAAGAGTTATGTCACTCCTGAATATCTTGAAAAAAATATATACCTAAATGAAATACCAAGGAAGACTGTGGAATTTTTTTGAAAACAATAATAATAAAAAAATCTATGCACGTGTGAATTTTTGGTATAATTGATTAGCTTCTCTGAATGTTACTCCACCAGGCCTAAATCAATGATGCTGTGCTCTTATATGAACAAGTGATAAGTCTTTTCAACAGCCACTCCAGGATAGCCGTACAACATAAATTTGAATATAACAACAAAAAAGTTGATTTTATATTTGAAATTCCTTTCTACCTTAACATTTTCATCAGCTTTGAATAAAATGAATAGAAAAGAGACCTATTCAGCAAGGACCAATTTATGAACCAAGTCACCATGACTCAGTCACTTAAGGCTCAGTGCAAGTGGCTCCCAGGTACTCGAAAAGAAAGAAAACAGCATATAGCTTTTTAACTCTGCTGATACTAAAAGAGCAAATTGTTGGGGAGAAATGAGACTGAGATGATAATTATATCTACTTATTGTAGCTATATATACACACATATAGGACCTGCAGTGGCTGTTTCTGATGATTTTTATTTTGAAAGTAGCTGTCCCACTGAGAACCTGCAAAGGAAAGCATGGAGGAGAATGTGTTCAGAGAAGCTTAAGTGGGGAAAACTCAAGCACTAAAACAATTTCTGCACTTCTTGAAAATGTGGCTATTCTGCATCTCTGGAGAAGGTGCTGGGTACAAGTGATAACTTCTCACAGCAAATTTCAGTTCTAACATTTTCCAATATAATCTTAACAGAGAAGCTGTCAAACACTGCTTAAAAGACAGTGTGAACTGATTTGACCACAACATACCAATAATTTGTGGGTATTAATGCCATTACAGTGTCTGTATGCATATTGCACTTACTCTAAAGACACATCATCAGGACAGTTAGTTTCACCATGGCTTCCTATCTCGTGAAACAGCTAAATCCTTTTAATCAGGCATCATTTGGGATCAAAAGGGAATTCTCTGTAATGTTACAATGCTCCATTATAAAATCTGACCTCAGCAAAAAATGGCCTGATAAATAACACTTTATCAAAATCTCATACCTCTCTGCACTCAAAAGTTAAAGGCACTAAAATCTAACAAGGCGCTTTAAAGTTTGTGGATTTCCCATTAAGCCAAGTGCAGTTGTTTTATTCACTGTGCCCATTAGAAGTGTTGATTTTGTTGGAAAATGAACCACAAGCTAAGATAGAGGGAAACTTGCAGAAATTCAGTGTGAAATACTGGTCTACAATATGCTAAATGAAAACATTTTATTATCTTTAAATGATTATGTATTTCTGAACTGTTTCAAAATAACGTTAATAGTTAATTCACACCCCAGTTACCATCATTACTGGAGACTCATGGCTTAATGACTTATGCAAGTTAGGTATATTTACCATAACTGTTGTTTTACTGTATTGTTATTGTTGTTATTTACAGTTTGGTTTCATGGTGACTTTCTTTCTGCAGGGGTCTCAAATTGGGGAGGCTATGCCATCGCTTGTGCTCTGTATGTTCTCAGCACTTGTGAAATACACGACCGCTATCTGAGGAAAGCCGTTGGGTTTCCACAGTTATCTAAGAAGATGGTCTGGCTGGCTGCACTTCCGTCTGTTCCAAAGGTAATTTCTGTAGAGCCAGTGACTTATGACTTCCTTGTGACATGTTGGTAGAGTCAGTTACCAGCCCAGTTACCAGTCATTAAATCTTTAGTAGCTTAGAAGTCATTACTTTCACATGTCTCATGGTGGATTTGAGGGATTCCTGGTTAACAAGCATCCACACTGTTATTAGAATAGTCTGTAAAGGATTCAAGAGAGAGTCAACATAAAAATTCTCAAAAATTAACTTATTCCTTATGACTTCAAGCATGGAACAGTGCTGCAATTTATTTTAACAGGTATGGCAAGAAATTCTGTCTGCTAAAATACTCTGTTCTTATGTAAAAAATAGTCAATTTCAGTCACTGTCAAAATCCTTCCAACACACTACATTCACTTTAAAGTATGTGGTTCTGTGTCCTCTGCACACTCCAGTTAGTGAGTTCTATGAGTGGTTGGACAAAATCAGTAAAAAAAAAAAATGGAGGATTCAAAATAAAGAATCCTAAAGTTTTGCTAATTTCTTCAAAATTGCAGTGCCAGCATCTTCTGTCTTTAAATACAGCCTTAACTCCTTCCTAAATAAGATTATGTCTTGTAGTTATTTCATACTTTAACTTTGTGGGAAGAGTACTTTCTTAGTTATTGATGTTTTGATTCCTTATATAAAACATATGTAAGTGAAACTCATCCCAGCTTTTAGCATAGCCCTAAGTACTTATCCTTTGACTTAACAAAACATATGGCACCTTTCAGCTCCAAAATTAAAGATTACTGTACAGTTTTCATTTTTTCCAGTTACATGTACTTAATTTTCCTTTATTTTAACAAATTCTAAAATCTAGTATGATTCCAATTCTTGGGAGTGATATATTGTAATTAAAAGTGATATACGGTACTTGAAATCCTTCTTGCTTTTGTTTTACTAAATTATCCAGATGGCAAAGTTGATAATGATCCAATAAATTGAAGGGCTATTGAAAGTTCAATAGTAAAATCTATTCAAATGAAATTAATGGAAATAGTTTTGTGAGAAGAAAATGACAAATTATCTGGCAAGAGAATATGATACCTTAAATTATAAATCATGGAACAGTAAACACTGCGGGAGGTTTCCTGAGCTGAACACACATTAGTGTTCACATACTCCATTAGCTTAAAAAGAAAAAGAAGAAGAAAAAAACCAGATCATTTATGGTTTCTGTGGCTAATTTCTGCCCAGTGCCATTTCTTTTAATGCTGGTAATGATTGTTCTGGTAGGATAAAAAACGCCACTATCTCCACCTCCGTGTTTATATTCATCTGTTTGTAAAAGCAAGCGTAACTGGAAAGACGACATTCAAATGAGTCCCTAAGCATCAGACAGCTTTCTTATAATGTATTTTCTTTTTCTTCACTCAAAGGTGATAATCACTTAATGATGAAGACTTACCCAGAAACACAAAGGTTGTTTCTTTGAAGCCTCATTAATCTTGAAGCAACAAAACAATATTGCAACAAAACCCTGAACTGTGGAGCTCTCCATTCCCACTCCACAATGTAAAGTGTTGAATGTTGAGAGCTGAGAGCAGAGTCCCAAAGTCATAGATTATTCTCTGCATATATTTTAATGAAAGGTTCCAAGAAACATTTGTTCTGTGCTGAGAACTTGATTAAGAAAAAAATAAAACAAACAAAATTTCATCTAACCAATCTTTTCCTACCTGAAAGTTGTTGAACAGAATCACTGAATCATGATTATGCCAAATAGTACAACCTGGCTTTTCAGATGTTACACATAGTCAGGTGACTGTAGAGGAATATATTAATTCTTATACAAGCAAATTTAGCTAACACAGAATGTTCTACAAACAATTCTGTATTTTCTTCTCAAAAACAGATTAACGTGTTAAACAGTTTTTTTATATTACAGAAGTCATTATTAATGTTAAAAAATGAACTGAATAATACTTATTTTGGAATTAACCTGCAAGAATATGAATTTCTATTTAAATGAACAATATGTAAAAAGATGTGACATTCATTTTAGAATTTTTTATTAGTTCTGTCACTTGCAAGGGATTTGCCTGAATAAAGTGCATCCTTTTTTTTATATATTAATTTGAATCTTTTTTTGTTCCTCTCCACCGCAAGTATTTGCTAACAGGAGATCTGTGAGCAAATTGCACCACTTTAGGCCTGAGGAATCATAGTGTGCATTGTGAATACTCATTGCAAATGGAATTGCTAAATTTTGACTGTAGGATAAAGTTCATCAGACATAATTACAATATTATGCAAGTCTTTCTCCCCTGCAAGCAGATCAGAGTGTCTAGCATGTAAACTTTTATGAGAAAAAAATAAAAACAAGGAAGATATTTTGCTTATCCAATGCAAGTTTCTCTTCTGTGATATAAGTGATCTGATTTGCCACTTTGCATGGAGAAAGTCTCAGTGCAAAGAGAAATCTCTTTCATGTACAAAGGTCAGACACTTATACTTACAGAAATACCACTCATTAGGTAAACTGAGATATATTTATAATTTTATAAATGACAAATGGCACTTTTTGTGAAAAAAAAATCCCTAAGTAGCTGTTGCATGACCTCAAGTTTGGCACCAGGTAACTGTTTTTCTGTAATAGAAAAGCAGTAGTTATTGTTGTGCTTATGTACGATGCTGTGTAACCCACAAATGACACACAGATCTTTATAGTGCATATTCAAAAAGTAGGTAGACAGTTTATAATAAAAATCCTGTTAACTGACCATGCAATATATGTTTTAATCCTTCCAGATACCAGGATCCAGGATCCTTCCAGAAGTGTTTATATTTTCATTATATACAATAGCATGCAAAGTACCTGTCAAAATTCATGTCTAAAGATACTGTGTAGTTTAGAGGCCTTCTTTGGAAAAATAAATCCTAGGCATTTAATAAGAACACTAGACATTTTAACGTTATAATTTTTTTGGTCTTTTTTTTTAAGCAGTTAAATGACTTTGGTAGCTATCACTGTACAGGAACAAGAAAGTATTTCACATTATATGACTGTCTGTCAAGGTAATTGGTAGGTAATTCAGTTGCAATTTCCATCAAAGCAGGATCTCACACAAATGGAAATAAAGACAGTAGAATAAAGACCAGAAAACGCATTCCTAGCAAGGAAAAACAAATAAAAAGTCTTATCTGTGACTATTTAAAAGGCATTATGTACATTACAGTTCTGGGGGAGGGAAGCTAAGACTTTTTCTTAACTTTCTATTAACTGAATTAATGAAATGAATTCTATCTATAGTAAATGCTAAGACAGTATAAAGAATTTTAATAAGAACATTTAATGTTAAATGAAAAGCAGAGCAGCTAGAAGAACATTTTCAATCTATCTTCAAAACTCTTAAAGATTACTGAAAGAGCAGATCATTTATGCACTGCTGCCTTAAAAGCTTTATTTTGCTAATTCCTATAGAAAATGGAATGTGTCATTATTGCAGCACGGTGTTCTATAAATATAGATATTGTCATATAAAAGAAAAAAGGGATATGTGATGACATTACCTGTCCTTTTGGAAGTGTCCCCTGCAAGCCGCTTGGTCAAAATCAAACAGCAGGTTCAACATTTGATAGAAGGAGAGAAGTTTAAAATTTTTGAGGTTCTGGCAAATTTCACAAAAATGGCTACCTAGAGAGAAGAGAGACACCTCTTAATGCTGCTTCTGTTGCTGTGGCTTTTCACAAAAACATCTTGGAGCAAATCTGCTAGACTTTACTCCATTGGAAACCAGGCTCTTGAATTACTCTGATTTTGTCCCATTTTTTTTCTTGCCCTGATACCTGGCCTGTATCTCTCAGGGAAGACTTTTGTTCCCTCTGTGTACATTAAAAGCTCAGCTGGGAACATGCTTTGTTATCTGCTTACATTGCTGTTAGGAGGGAGGAAAAAAAAAAAAGCTGTTATACTCTTATAAACATGAAAATGAATTGTGGTCCCAAACAAAGAAAATCATACGCTAACTCAGAGAATTCCAAGAAAAGCATTTCAAGCTTTTCTATTTCTCTTCCCTTAAGCACCCAGAATTCTCTCAAAAATCAACAACAAACAGAGTACATAGAGTAAAAGGCAGGTAGGAATCACTGAAGAAATTGGAAGGAAAGTGTTTGTGCAGCCCATTCAGGTACCTTTTACCTCTGTAACTTTTTTTTTCCTTGATGTGTCTTTCTTTATTGCTGGTCCTTTTTCATTTAAAATGCATCTGCAGTTAGCTGCTAGGTTATGGAAACAGCAGATAATTTTTGAGATATTTAGATGAAGTTTCCTGTGATTCAGATTTGTATAATTTAGGATTTTGCAATCAGACAAAAAGGAATTGGGCTTTTGTAATGTGTGTTTGTTTTATTTTAAATAGAAGCCATGAATATTGCCATTTGTCAGTCACTAAGTTCCAGCTGCTAAATCTATCCTGTGTTCCAAATTAAATGGCGGTGTTTGCAAATTGCTATCCAAAATAATCCTGGAAGATAAGGTCATTCTCCCTAGGTTAAAAAAAAAAAAAAAAGATGAACTTTCTTGGCTGATTCGGGATTCTAATAACATTATATTTCCTTTTTTTTTTTTTTTTAAAGGAAGAAAAGTTTCTGAAAGCCCTTGTGCAGCATGGGGTCCGCAGTGGAAAAACTGCCAGCCTAGAAATGGAAGTGGACGGTCTGCCCTTCTATAACACCCATTCACTTATGATTGAAAAGCTCCTGCAAGAAGTGCAGCAGTGACTTCCTCTAATAATTTCAAAATCAGGAATGTCTCCTATGTTATTTCCTTATTCCTAACCTACTGACAGGGTTTAAAAAAAAAATCAAAGTTGGTTCTATGTCTTGAAATGTAGGATTTTTGATCTCTAGTGCCTCAGCCATGCACAACCTTTTTTTCGTTTTGTTTTGTTACTCTTACCTCACTGAGAAACAGGAAGGATCATAAGCATTTGATTTACCTTTTATTTTCTGTAATTTTATAATAGATATTAAGTGATATTATATACTAAGCAGCAATCTGGCTTTACAAAGAAAACTTATAATAAAAAATGAAATGTTATTGAATTGCTGTTCCTGTTTCATTAACCTCATAGCTGCAAGAGGAAGTAACTGGTGTGGCAACTTTGTTTTAAAAATACCTTGTGGTGCAGAAAACAGCTGCAGTGAAGAAGGGCACTTCAAAACCACTCTGCTGGTGGTGAGCAGTTGCTGAAACTGTGAGGACAGTTTTAACTTATCTAAAGCAAGTAAGGAGAGCTATGCAGAGTTTCTTTGTAAAAGGTAGGCTATACTGCTTGTCTCCTTCAGGTTAGTAGTTTACTATTTATATATTTAGTCCCCTTTTAGGTAATACAGAAATGCTGCAGGCATTTTAGGGCATCAACTTTTCTTCTGGGCAAGTGAATTTAACGTTCTTGCCCTTGTGTAAGAGATCCATGCAACTTTTAGAGATGTGAACATGTACAGTAGCCGACTGACATTACACTAATAGCATCCTATTACAGAGGATTCTTTCTGAACACCAACTTTGGGCAAAATAACTTGATTCAGTAAGCTTCTGTCTTCTTTCCAAAATACATTTTTAACAGTCAGATTTGGTTAAGAAAAATAAAATGTAATAATTTATTTTTCTCTGATCTGTATTTTCTGTTCCATGCCAAACTCCTGATTTAATCTGACAGCAATGTGCAGCCCATCTCTGGCCACAGTCGTCAGACCTCTGCTTGACCATTTTTCACAAAATTAAAAGTTCTGAGAATTGCACTCCTTACATGGCAGCTGGTTCTGCAGACTAAATCTAGCAGTTCCTGTGTAGGAAGAATCAATGAAATACTGACTTCATGTTTAGACAAAAGGACCCCAATCCTTCCCTTCCCAGTTAATAGGTTAAAGGTTGAGAATTGTAGCAAAATGCTGGACTTTATTGCACATTTCCTTCTTTTAAACTGCAACAGCTGAGCTCAAGTTGAAACCAGAAATACACCGACTCAGAGAAGTCTTAATCTGTCAGATAACAATTTGATTGCAGTATGGCATGTTCTGCCTTCCAGCTGTCTAATCTAAACAATGTGGCTAACAGTAAAGAAGTAAAGCATAAACAGGACAACAAATATTTCATCTTAGAACAAACCCTGTGTGTGTCTTCCAGCATGGCAGGTCGCAGAGCCGAGTAGTTGAGGACGTGGCTACCCGGGCTCCTTTCCTAACAACACACAAGCCCTGGCATTAAAGATCTCATGCCATGCAACCCAGATACGGAAAGGCAGAAGAGACTAGGGGAAGTGTTAGGAGAAAGCAAAGCTAAGCAGCACCGACAGTCAAAAGAAAAATGCATGTACAAGGTAATTAATTCAGCGTGGTGAGTGGTGTAAGTATAAAGAAATGCATAAAAGAATTAAACAAACCAAATGTTAATCTAAGCAAATCTTATCCCCTCTTGGGAGAGAGGACATGAATCCGTTCTTCAAAGGGAGGGGAGGAGAGGATCTGTAGTTTCTTAAAAGGAATCTATGGGCCAAAGCCAGAAGAGAGTTATATCAAACACATGCTGAATAAATATAGGAAGAATATAATAAAGGCGTTATTTATTAAACACATCCCTAATTATATCTAACGTTGCCCTCTCAAGGGGGCCTACAGAACACTTAGGACACATGGGCTTTTAAGAATATACTGCCTGACAAACACGGTTGCATACCATGAGATCTTTGAGATCCCAGGTGCAGGTGTGTCTAGAAAATCTTCTGGAAAAAAGTATCACTGTACTGCTGCATATTATCCATTCTGAGTGGCAGAAAGAGAAAGGTGTTTCAAGGAAGATCTGAAGACAGAGAAGAAGCAAAATGACAAGGCAATACACAGATAAAAAAAGCATAATGATCAGATGACAGGTAATGGATAGAGTTATATAGTTCAATAAAGAAAAATAAGAAACTAGACAGAGGGGGTCGGCAGAAGCAAGAGGATACAGCTTAATTCCCAATTCTTTAATTGGCATTATCCTTACTTATTTCTATGTTTTGTTTCTCTTTTCCAAACTAGAAAACACATATCATCCATACAACGTATTTTTGACACTGTATTTCCTGAAAAATGACCAGACCCTAAACTATAATATCTATCCATATTACAGCTATGTAATTCTATATTCATTGTACGTATTTATCTCGCATGAATATGTACTCATGAATATAGAATTTAAACTGATTCCATTTAACAGGTTCAGTGAAAATGTACTGTTAATTAGTTGCTTGCACAATTTGTGCTACACAAGACATTTACAAGAGCATAATCCAAATTTTAGCAAGGTTTCAAAGAATTCAGATTAAATTTAATTTTGAACAGAGTGACTCAAAGAATTGTATGCATTAAAAGCAGCTCATAATATACCAACCTCCTTTTTGGAGTCCACGGGCTTATTTTCCCCCTCAGAGTCTGTTCTCGACAACCTGACTCTTGAAGTCAATAGGAGCCTTATGACGAGGTTCAACAGGGTGAGATTCGATCATCAATCAAGAGACTGAAGGTCTCAGCAGAGGGTGAGGTCCTTGTTCATGCTCCTCCAGGACATCTCGCATTATTCAATTGCTTATTTTAGGAGGTGGGTTCAGGCAAGGTCTCTGCTAAACTTGAAACAGGCTTGAGGAGGAATATTTAGAGTGTTACAGAAAAAAAATGCACAAATGCAATTTTTCTTCAAAAAAATACTTATGAGGACATTTTATTTATTCTGTCTCCAACCTTTTCAATAGATAATGCCTGCTTTAAGATTTTTTTTTTCTTCTAGCTATGACAGGCACAAACAAATAGCAGTTAAAGAATGTTTCAGCAGCTCCCTACCATGATTTATTTCAACCAAAGTGGTCATCAACAAGAGTTAAGTGGCGGGAGAACAGTTTCCGAGTTGCACCAGACTGGCAGTAGACATGTGATTGGAACTGAACTCTTAGTTTATATTTTCTTCACTAAAGTCAAGGCCCAAGCACCTCCAGGAACTACCTCACTATGCTGCATAGCTAATAAGCCTTTGGGAGGTAAAATAGCTGGAATGTATGGATAAATGAGATGTATACACAACACAGTCATATGTGGAGATTTTGGATGAGTATTTTTTTTTGATGAATACTATAGGCTGCCCAAGTTAACTGTGGAGGAGTCCTTTATTCCAGCAGTATCTTGTGATGTTTGCAATAATGCTGGCTCTTGCTCATCTTGTGACTTGTTGGGGGTTTCTGGAGCATTCAGCTGGTAGCTTTCCTTACTCTCAGCCCTTGGACAGCCTAAATATGTTAAACAAGAGTCTCGCATCTTGGCAAAGTTCTGGTAAGTGCTTTCACTGGAAAAGCAATACAACACCGGGTCAGCAACACAGTTAAATGTAGTCAACAGGAGAGAAATATGGTAAATATTAAATATTTTCTCAGCAAATGAGCAGTCGTTCTCAAACAAGCTGCGAACTACAAGCAGGATGTGGTATGGTCCAAAGCACACTAAAAAAATGAAAACAGTGCTGGAAACCAGTCGCTTAATTTGGATTTTCTTCTTCTTCTGAGTGCCATGGCTCTTGTGGACCACACGTAGAATTCCGCAGTAAGAGAAGGCCAGCAGGAAGAAGGGGAAGAGGAAGCCCGCTGAGAAGCGGTAGTAGTTGACGTTGTGCTCCCAGGCCTTGATGGGGTAGTGCTCAAAGCACACCACGTGGCTGTCAGCGTCCATGCTGATTTCCCCGTGGGTAAAGACAAACCAGCACGTCACGATTTCCTTGGCCCAGATAACAGCGCTGACGATCGCAGCAGCCTTCAGCGTCCGAAACTGGTGGAACCCAAAAGGGTGCACGACGGCCAGGTAGCGGTCGATGGAGATGCAGCAGAGGAAGCCCACGCTGATATAGATGTTCTCATACAAGAGAGTGCCACAGATTTTGCACAGCAGTTCGTCGTGGGTCCAGTTGTCGTGCTGTAAAACATACTGGAGCCAGAAAGGCAAAGAAAAAATGTACAGCAGGTCTGCTACAGTCAAGTTGCAAAGGTAGATACCCAGTTCATTTTTAGCCTTGATCTGCAGATATCCATAGTAGAGCGAGAGGCAGTTTGCTGGGAAACCCACTACAAACACGAATATGTATACCACAGGGGATAAAGTCTGGTGGATATCATGATTAATAGTGCACCCCTCAGTTGCGTTCTCTGAGAAATTCATCTTCTACCTCTCACCATCTATTACTCATCAGGCTCCCAAATGGAGAGTTGCAGAGTTTCATTTCATTCAGTTTTGTATTTCTTCCACAAAACCTTTATCTTGAGGTAATAACTTCCTGAGGGATGTTATTAACCTGAGGGTAAAACACATGAAAATCTTCAGGAGGAATACTGTTGTAAAATATTTAGCACGGTTTTCAGTAAGCTGCCTTTTCTTAGCCCTCAATTTTCTTTTGCTCTTTGATGGAAGATAAAGCCTGTCTGGGAAATCATAATTTGTGTCAATAAGTCCCAGTACTGTACACACATAGAGTATCTTCTGTCAAAGTATCCAAAGCCATTTATAACTGTTTATCTATTTAGCTTTATGAGTATCTGCAAGGTGAAAAAAAAATTATTCCTGTTTACAAAGGAGGCACAGAAGCAGTAATTTCATTTGTCCAAAATGATGATATTTCTCAGGCAAAATAGTCTATTCAGACTCCTTTAGAGAATGCTGTAGGGTGCACAAAACCAGCTGCTTTTAATTTCCATTTTTAAAATTTCCCTTGAGATACAAAATACCATGGCATTTGCAGTTCAGCCCATCAGGATTTTAAAAACAGCATATTTTAGCAGCATATCTTATACAGCTGGTTGTGTAAGCAGTTCCAAAACTAAGCTCTTTTTCTATTGGAAAAACTTCTGCAAAAAATTGGTAAAATGTCTCTACAGTCTCTGTCCTATAGTTTATCATGTTACAGATTCCTTATTTGCCAGAGACTCCCCTCAACTATCTATTTATTATTTGCTGTTGTCTATACCTTAATATCTTTTGTTTAACTATATTACATTTGATTATAATTATCTATATTACATTTATCTATATATTGATTTATCTATATTACATTTGATTATAATTATTCATCTAAAGGATTTATAATCCAAATATCTACCCATATAAGTATTGTCTGTGCTAAATAATACTGTTATTTAAAACACCTGCAATACAGTGGGACTGTATTTCTTTGAATTTCTTCCCAGAAGAAATTGCTGTGTCGTAGTGTGCACCGTTGTGAAGGTTAGCAATTTGTGTGTTCATCCTAAAGCTTCAGTTAACAGGGATCATCAGTCAAAAGGAGACAGCATTGTCAGGGGAAAGAAAATGCCTCACTGCTTTTTCCTGTTTACCATCCTAGGTTGTATTTTGGTTTGTCATCTTCTGTCCTGATTAGGAACATACAAATTTTTCCAAGGCAATACTTAAAAACACATGACCACATTTACTACACACTACAACCAATACAAACAGTAAAATCCCCTGTGAGCTGTATCATCTGAGAATGTTACTGTAGACTACTCACTTTTATATAAATGTCTATTTTAGATGGCACTGGGTTTTATTTCTATCAAAATTACACAGAACATCACTTCCTTCAGGACAAAAGAGAATTGCCTGACTGGAATAAATGACCAGTCCTGCAAAGACATACAATTTTATACTTCAATTAGTGTGAAATAGTCCTGCTGAAATCACAGCAAGGTTAGGGCTACATAAGCATTTAAAAATTCTTTTTTTTTCATTAATTTCTCTTCTTTTTTGAACCAAAAGACAGAATATGAGCCCTGATTTTGCACTAGGTTTTCTTGAGGATCTCAGAGAGTTTCCATCATGAAAACTAATGCTAATGTAAGCTCACCTCTGCCAAAACTTCCAACTTCATTGTCCCAAACCGCCTGTGTGAAAGACAGGCTGAATTTAGCACAGTGCAAGCTCTGCTCTCCTGCAGTTATTTAATGGGATTAACAGACTCACCTCTGCATTGTGGATGGCACATACTTATCACAGATAAATCAAGCACAACAGGAGAAATGCTGCTGAGGAAACCCCATCACAGACATCAATGGTCCAAGAGATTGTTTCCCTAGGGAATAATCATGATAATGTTAGCAGCATGGAAGTGTACAGCAGGAATTAATCCCTAAAGTTATAGGCAAATTTCCAGTGTATTCTTCCTTAGGTGTCATTAGCTCCCTTTTAACATCATCAAGTGCACTAGGCTGGTCTCGGTGTTATGATAAGTATTATGCAGTTTTCCTCTCAATAGTACGTGTGCTTCACACTCCTCAAGAAAACGTCTGGAATCCTTCCTGAAAATGGTTCATTAGCCTAGTTATCCTACCTTTTCTAATGTGCGGCTCCAGAGCAAGTATAACTGTATTTACATTTGTATTTGATGCAATTTCTGCATACAACTTTTGTGGCTTCAGCATGGGAGGTTTGTCTACACAGAATGATTGATATACCTAGGTGTAGTCTAAAAAGCAAAAAAAAAAAATCGGGGATTTATCATCTAATCTACAATTCCCAAATAATAGACACAGGAAGAACATTTAACTAAAACCAGCCAAGCAGTGTCCAGCTTCTGTTGATGAGGCCAAATTATCGTAATTTAAAAGCTATCAATAATTTCAAAAAGTTGGACCTGTCCTTGTATGTCTAGCATAGTTCAACAGCTCCAAGTCTTGCTCAGTGTTACCCAGTACGTGAACATGGATCACAGCATGAGAAAAAGTAGATGCACTCAACCACTGCATTGTTCTTTTGCAAAATTTGTCCTTTTCTCCATGAACTCAAAATGTTATTAAATTGTGCTTACGTCATGGAGGACATGACTGTAAAAACGGTATCTGTTTAGCTTTAAAAGTCCTGCCAGAACCCAGAACATGAAGGACACAGCAAAAGCCTTATTGGTATGATATTGTTCTAATGTAATGCACACTTATGATTACAGCAGTGTTTCCTGCTCCTGGAGGAAGTGCTGGCGTGAGCTGCCGCCGCGAGCTGGAAGAGAAGACTGGCCCTTAGGAATCTCTGTGCCCTGTGGTAACAAAACCACCCTTATCCTCTCATTGTTTTACAACAAATTTCAAAGATGGGGGTGAAAAACAAAAGTCCAGATTCTTGTCTGCACAATGGCTGTTCTATGTCACTCTTCTGGTCAGCAGCAGCAGTTGGCTTGGAAAATTCTTTCCTTGTTTCAGCCTCCTCAGTGTCTGGGCTCCAGGACGCCTCTCTGCTCCCTGGTCCCCTCTTGCCGGCCAACAACAGTCTCAATAGCCAAATGTGACTCAGACAAGGGTAGTATAAAGGCTGTTTACCTTTCCTTTCCCTCCACAACAGGTAGCTGAGGCATGAAATCGTGTGCTTTTTTGAACAAGTCTGGTGTCCAAGAACTGTAATGACAGCTCTTCAACAGAGAGGTGCTTTGAAAGACCACTCTGTTCATAAGAACTTGATACAGCTACAAGCCCCTACCAGCTCTGTGGAGAAGCTGGAACTGAAGGAGATGTACAAGGTAGGGGAGAGAAAATATGAAGAGCTCCCCTGTTACATATTGACCTAGCCGGGACAGTAGGAGTGAAAAAAGAAAAACAAATGCTCTGTGAAAACCATCTGGGGTGCAGATAATCAAAAAGCTGGAGTTAGTTAGGGATGGGAACACCCAGGCATTCCACTTAGCTTTAAAATGCAAATAGTGCAGCTGTGTGATTTTTTCAGAGCATGGTTTATGTTAATACCTTTAGTATCACCTTCTGTATCTGCTTCATTCAACAGACATTTCCAGGCAAGATTTTTCTCTTATCTCACACATTTGCTCACATTATTTAGATGATGCCCTTCCGAGCCCACCTCTTGGAAACAAAGTAGAAGGCTTTTGATATCCAGATGAGCTCCAAACATTCTTCTTTTTCCCAGATAAGAAATAAAACCAAGGATCTCTTAGTTTAAAATCTCAAGTTGAAAAAAATCTTTTTTTTTTTTTTTTAAGTTACTTTCATTTGTCACTGTATAGGTCAACAAACAGGTTCTTTTCTTTCCAAGCTTTTTGGTGCACCAACTAATAACAAAAACATCATTCTCACCCTGCACCAGTCGAGCTGTAAGAAGTCTGTGAATTATGGAGCAGTTTATATGTTAAGCACTGTCTGCTCGTGATGGTGCAGGAAATCACTCAGAGCCACTTACAGCAACAGCCTCTTCAGCTCAGCCTGACTCACAGGGTAGAGTCTGAGCAGTTTTTTTCCAATTTCAATGAACATTGCTACAATTTGCCTAAGAAATATGTCTGCAATTGTCTGCTACACGCTTGCAACGGAACAAACAGGGACTATGCCAAAGGACTTTTTTTGTATACACAGAACTAGAAGTTGTGCACACAACTAGTCTCACCCACAAAACACCCTTCCGTGAATGGGGAGGGTAACATGGTGCTGTGCCTTTATGTGACAGTGACTTTCTTGCTGTTTTGCCAATCTGTCCCTGCACCTGCCATATACAAGAGAGACACCTGAGACACTTGGCTTTTAGAACACGGTTAGGACCATGCTGCATATTTTGGAACCAAAAATCCACGACTGTTTTAGCAGAGAATTTGTTTGGGGTTATTACCTACCTAAACACAGCCTTTAAATACTCACAGAACTTTCCACAGGTCTTGAAGATTCACCAGCTTGGAATGATTTTGTTTCACAAACCTGGAAAAATAAAGAGGTGAGAAAACATTCAGCAGCCCAGATTTGGGAGTAGTGGGATAATATAAAATGGACAGGGAATTGCTGGCCCAAACCTGAGAGGGGAGCAGAAACTGGGAGAGCAGCTCTGACAGCTGCTTTAGGTGAGCAAAGACTTGAGAGCAGGCAAATGGCAGCTGGTTACTGACTATTGCTTCTGCAAATATAATAATCCTGCTTTTTTATTAAGTTCTGGGTTGTTAAGACTATAAAGGATAAGTCACTACAACAGAAAGTACACAGAAGTATTGTTTTTTGTTGAGCCTCTATGTGAAGAGCAGCTGGGTGCAAGGAGGTTTTGTTTTGTTTTCTAATGTTTTTGTGGAGATTTTCTTGGTTTTATCCGTTTGTTTTTCGTAAAGCAGAAAGGCCACCTCAGAGACTCTCTGCTGTCGTTACCTTCCAATTTTTATTTCAGCTTCTTTGCATTAGAAGGGACAGGTCCATATGTCCTTTACATGAGAGTGTTACTAGTGGTATAAAGTAAAAGCTAGATGGTATCTTTTCAAATCTCTGAAGCCATCTTCTAGACAACGAAAGGTAAAAAAAAAAAAAAAAAAAAAAAACCCAAACCCAACTCATCCTCCCTTCTAAATTTAATTTAATACTCAGCCCATTTGGTGCGGATTAACTTTCAAAGGGACCTGCCCAGTGTGTAGCTCTCTATAGTTGTTTCATTACTCCTTTGTGTATTCATTTCGGTGGGAAGAAACCATAGAAGTATTCTGTAAATTACAAATCACAGTATTTTTGTCATTACTCTATGACTCCATTTATAAACCTATTGTCCAAGGAGGAAGCCAGCAACATTTTTTGGAACCCACATAAACAAAAGGCTAATTAGTCATCAAACTCCTATTTTCCTTAGCACAGACATGCAATTATTCAAAGTGTTGGCTTAATCGCTCCACTTAAACATTGATATCTTGGGAATTTGTCTCAAATTCTTAATTTCTGTTTTCCATCACATTTCTCCAAAGTTGGGGAAAAAGCTACTTCCCTTAAATATTTCATCACTGGAACATCAGATGTCACATGAGTTGGGTGAATTCAGCTTTTTCTGCCCATAAAATATGTCATTAAGAATCCATAATGTGGATCTGAGTAACAGATTTGTGTTAAAATCTTTGAAACATGATTTTTCCTTTTTTTTTTTTTTTATTTTTTTAATAGCAAGCTTGCGAAGAGTACTGGATTGGACATCAAATGTGTGTGAAAGGCAATGATATTAGACCATGGTAATGGACCAAAATGCCACACTTCCAAGTGAGAACACCGAAATACTGGAACACATTAGCAAAGCTAAGTGTTAACTCCTTGTTCCTCCCGTAGTTAGTCCTACCCTCCTCTACCTCAGGCTCTGCCACAACCCACCTACTTTCCAAGCACAGAGAGCCACATTTGAATGGCTTAATTTGCTGCCTAACAGAAGGCCAGGTATGTGGTTAACTGTTCAGTTGTGCTACAATCATTTGCCCTGATCACTGGGGGAATCTCCTCACTGAAAATTTTGACTTGTGCAGCCTAATGTAAGCAGTATAGGCTGCACAAGTCTGAATGCATTGCAGCTAGGAGCTGCTTACATTAGCAAATGTGATCATTGAAATGACTTCTACATCTAGTTCTAATGTTCATTTCCCATCAATAATAGAGCTTAACCTTTCAGGTGTCCCGGCCCACATATCAGAAAGTTCCTTAAGAAACAAATGAACTGGTATGGATCGTATATGTAAATGTATTACATTCAGCTCACTTCATACAAACAAATGAGCAAACAGACTTTTTATTAAGCCACCTAAAAAAAAATAATAATAGTAAATATGGCAGCCAAGCAATTCTGAATAGCCTTGGGGGAAATGATGTACTATATGCCAATAACTTACCATTATAACACAGTGTGCTGTAGGCTACACTGGGAGATGTCACTAGTGGGACTTTTTTTTTCAAACAAGTCCTTACATTCCTGGCAAATGTCAAAGTTTCAGAGAAAAACTGCCCTGAATATACCAGTAAATCATCATTCGAAGTTACCATTTGTTTTTTTCAGTCAGTACACTGAGAACTCAGCTTCTTTCTTATCCAATGTGCAGACTGTTATATATGACATGTTATATATCACATACAAAAACAAGGTAGTAATAAAAACATATTGTATTTTACAGTAGAACTCAGTGACAGGTGTGGGGGTTAGAGCAGTCACGTACTGAGGTGGAGACAACAGTGTAAACTTGTGAATCCTCCCCACACGCCCCACATGAAGGTGCAAAAAGGTCTAAAGAAGACC